TTTATGCCACTGTTGTGCAACACTTTGACTTGTCATGGTACTGAAATGAACTATATAAACAAACTTGGCCTATATCATCTAATGCATTTAAAGCATCTATCTGCAAATCCTACCTGATCCCCTGAATAGAATCTCAGTCTGGGTCAGTGGGCTATGCACTCAGGGGTAAGAACCAGAGATGATAGAAACTTCTTACCTCTGCTAAATAGAAAAATAAGTACAGCTCAGTGAACTAAAGTCCTTATTTCAGAAAAAAGTATTATTCATTTTAAAGCATTAAATGCTTTAAAATGAGAAGAGCAAGGTAAAATAAATCTTCACAGCTTTCTCTTTCTAAATTAGAGGGACAGTGGCAAAGGATGCAGAAGGGTTGCCGGTTTGAAAACCAGCTCTGTCTGCTTCCGTTGTTGCATCCTTGAGCAAAACACTTCCCCTGCATTGTCTACTGATGGGGGTCAGGCACCACACAGGTGATGCATGTGTACAACATGTCTTCTCTTAGTGTGACCCAGGACAGCAGTGGCTGCCTGGAGCAGTGTGTAAATATGCATCCATGAGTGGATTTATGACCCAATGTTAAAGGAGCTTTATAAGTACAATATATATATATATATATATATATATATATATATATATATATATATATATATATATATATATATATATATATATATATATATATATATATATATATATATATATATATATATATATATATATATATATATATATATATATATATATATATATTTATATTCAATTTATTTGTAGAACACCAATTCAAAATACATGTAATCTGAAGGCATAGAACAGAGACAATTCAACCAGATCATACAGTCAGATTCATGCTTTAATGATCTCAGATGTAATTCTACTCAAATGTTTGTGGTCCATTGTGCTCCAACCTGAAAAGAAGTCTAACATTTTATTTTTGGTGATTTTTTTGTCTTTCAAAGCTTGTTAACCTGCATTTCTTCATGCTGATGTCCTCTTAAGAATGATCAAACTGTTCCTTTGCTGATTGCAAAGATCAAGTCTCTGGGTGATGCAAACCTTCCAAAAGCAGGATGAGAACATCATCATCATCCTGGGGACCACGGATGCGTTTCTGTACGTTATCCTGCTCTAAGTGATCCTGACATATCCTAAATATTTCACAACTACTCACAGGTTTTCCTCTTGTTTACCATCTATCTTTTAGGTTTGCCTAAGCTGCATACATCTAAAATTAGTTCTATTTGGATAGATTACAGCAAAGTGTCAAAGTTAAGCAGCAGATTTTGCCATTTCAGATCATGACCAGTAAGCAACTTCAATCTGTATTTAAAGTTACAAAGAGAAAATAAATTTGTAATGATATTTTTTTCAAACATCACTTCTTGAATATAAATTCTCCATTGCTATAAAACAGCTATTTTCTTAATGTTTCTCTAATAGTTGACAAAGAATATGCATTCATAGATGGAGTAGTGGAGTCCAGAATGTGAGCTGCTCTAGTAAAAAAAACTCTGCCCAAAGTCAAGCAGATGGTTTAATTCAGAAAATGTTTGTTAACCTGAGTTCATTGTTTTACACAGAATTAATGTCTTATTCACTACAACTGATAAAATCATGTGACTGTAGATCAGCTTTTTGTTATAAAATCAAAAACAGCTTCAAATCTTTTGAAAATTTAAATGCATCCTGACTCTAGTGAAAAATTCTCTAGATCTGTCTTCAGTAAAAGAATTTGAAGCAGCCTCAATGATCTGTAATTGTTTTACTTGATATACATTTTTTTTTTTCTTTTTTTGATGTACCTGTCATTTATTCTAATGTATCTATGTTTTTTATGTAACTTTGCTGCCTCTTGGCCAGGCCTCCCTTGAAAAAGATGTTTTTAATCTCGGTGGGATTTTTTTTCTGGTTAAATAAAGGTTAAAAAAAATGTAGCAAAGTGATCTTTTTCGCTTTTTAATTTTTTAAAATTTTGGATCAATTTGATCAACATTTAGAGGGCTAGTAAGCGAAAACAATAAGGAACATCTTTAGGGGGGAAAAAAATCTAGAAATTAAGGTTACTTGACCATAACACTGTAAGATCTGCTATTTTTTTCTTTTATTAAATAATGTTTCCCAGTAATGAGGGGTGAAAAAATGAATACGTAAGAGACAAATCAAGAATAAAACATAAAAAAAACACCAATTTGCTATTATACGTTTGTTTTTATTGGCATCAGTGGATCAGTTCAAACAGAACCAGACATGAGGATGAGCTGATTTGATCAAAAACCTCTCCATGTTTTTGCATAAGACTTTGGCTGCAAAAAACAAACAAACAAACAAACAAATCAGACATAAAATCACGTAAAAAGTGCACAGAGCTGAATTCCATTTACTCTCCTTAAATACTGTAAAATGTACTTGTAAACAACAATCTCCAGAAAACTGAAAGAAAAAACTATGTTTTTTAGCCATTATATTACTAAATCTTAGCCTTTCTGTCTCAGAATGATAACTGAAATAAAACAATTCACAGTCCAACATAATAAACACATAACATGATCGGGTACCCTTAAAAAATAGTGCAACAGCAACAAAAATCACCAACTTTGTTAAAACAAAAAAACAATTCTATAAATAAAAATGAAATAAATGAAAGAACATCTGATCTGATGCACAATTCTGGCATCTTTAGCTGCAAAATATGGAGCCCAGCAGGTATTTCAGGATTATATACGAGTACTGGAACCTATGTTCTTTAATACTGGGAAACTTACAGGACGACTTTTACAAATAAGCTCAAACTATCATTCAAAACACAGACAAACAAAAAAACCAACGATCCTCCTGATCATCTAAAGACAGCCTGTTTATTTTGGATGAAGACAAAATTTAGAGCCAGATTATTCCCTCTAAATGCATCATGAGCATTCCCTAAACACACTTCATTGAAATATTCTAATACTTTAACACCATACTGTTATAAATGACTAATATGCGTTTTGGGCTCAGACCAGAAGTAAAACTAAAGTTCTGTCTTTCCAACTGAGGTGGGTATTGATGGCTTAGTTTTTAACACTGAATGCAATCAGTGCAAACAAACATACAGTCGCATGAAAACCCTTCCAGGCTCCAAAACACGAATAAATAATACAATTTGATGGAACAATGCAACCCAAAGCAACATACCCAAAGCAGCACAATAATTCAGCAATGAACAAAAAAAACACTTTAATTTCAACAGTAGCTTGTTTCATTCGAATGAGAAAAAACAAAAAAACATTAATGTTAAGGAAAACAAGTATATCTGCCATTTTGCAGCTTTACCACCCCGACTTCTTCCGCTTGCACCTGGAGGCACACCACAGCATATCCTGTCCCAAACTCATAGGATAGCAGTTTCTTTATCCTGGTAGGTAATTCTTCTCATAAATTAAGGCGAATTTTGTAAATTTGATGTATGATTTTTATTTTAGAAAAAAGATTATTTTTAAACTTCAATTACCCTTCAATCTCATTTAGTGATGTTCTGATCTCCATTTAGACCAACTGACTAATAAAACATTGAAGGAAGTCAGGTCGAAAGATAACATCTAATGCCTCTTTCCCACTGGGCGAAAAACCCTTTAAAAACGTTTAAATCTGGGAACAATTGACTTTTAGTGGCAGTGGGAACGGCTCACTGACCCGTGTCAAAAGACTCGGCAGGCGAGCCATGTTAAAAATTGCCTTGAAATGTCTCTGCTCTGATGAGCATACTGATGGAACATTAGACCCGGATCAACCCGCTAATTTATGTGATACCATTGAGCGCAACGTACGAACATCAACACACGCCGCTGGTGGTGGCTGATCTAAGAAGCCAAATCAAATCTGTTTACATTCAATAAACATGGCACAGCTCCGGTAAGAGTGATTTGGACAGATATAAGAGTGAAACAATAGAGAACAATTATTACGCCCCGGCTTCCTCATATGTTTCTCTCCATTGTTTACTTCCCTGATGTCTGTTGGACTGGGGAAATCATCAAAGCTTATCCAATGTGACGGCATCGAACACGCAGCGGCGAGCCAGCGAGGGGTAGGACCCAGTTTTTTTGTCAATGAGAAGGAAACCAAATGACAATTGTTAACAGATCAACTCATGTTTGAAAAACCTGCTTTAACCTGCTGATTTCAGTGGGAAAGGGGCTTTAAAGGACAAAATGGCAGAATGCACAGGACCCTGTGATTTTCAAATTAGTGAGTTTCAAAGCTGAAATTTTTCTATGGCTCAAACTAAGCAGGAGCGGATAAATCAGTCTGGCAGCATTATATTTTCAATTCATTGCAAACAAACAAACAAAAAACTATGTAGCAGTGGTATCAGCAGCTAATCGCCTACTAGTAAAAACAAAAACAGTCCAGTAATCCATCTCTGGAATTTGCTGTCAATCTTTAGGATTATTTTTTTCCGGCAGAAAAATTACGTTGTTCCTGCCTTTTTTAATGGAGCTGTATGGTGTGTTCAAAATAATAGGACAAACAATTACTTTAATATTTTCCAATCATCGTGGTTTTCATTCACTAAAAATAAAACAATCAGGTGACTCAAAATTTCCCGAAATTCGGGTTTAAAACAGCACGGATTAAATAGCTGCAGTGCTTTTGTACAGATGGAGCATTGGTGGTGGGGGGAGGGGGGGTATTAAAAGGCCATCTAGTTTGCATAGAGATACTAAAAGCTAAAGCCGCTATCAAGTCTGATAGACTATACACGAGTAAAGCACAACAGGAAGTAGAATCACGGGAGAGGAGCGGCAGCAATGAGAGGAGTTCCAGTCAATTATTGCCCTTCTTATCTTCCAGTCAGGACAGTTTGCCCAGTGACTAACTTTTAAAGTTTGATTGCATTTCAACATTGGTACGAAGTGAAGAAAATTGTTTTATTTCATTTAAAATGGACGTGATTAATCAGTCAGTAGCTTTTTTGCAATCACAGCAATCATTTGCATTTATTAACATTACGTTTTTTTTTAATAAACATCATATATAGTAGCTTTTAATAGGAAAATCAAATCATTGACTCAATGAGTTTGATTATAACTTTTGACAACAATTTTATATACAGTACTGGTTTTGTCCTGATATTTTTTCCAAGTAACTGTACATTTGCAGCTTTTTATGTTTTCAATACAGTGAGCAATAACTTTTCTGCCAGCCTTCTGTAATCGGTCTTCATGTAAAAACTGGTCATTAATGGGAAGTTTTAACTCGGTCACAAGTCAGAAGAAATTCTTTTAGGGTCGTCTTTGGACACAGTTTTTTGTTTTTGCTTTATTTTCAGATCAATTAGCCTTAACTTCTAAATAGAAGCTTAAAAAACAAGCCCAGAGCAGAAGCTATTAGAAGGAAACTGTACTTTCTACAACACGTCGATACACATCTGCTGTTTATTCAGGCTGTGAGAGAGAGGAACACTTTCAGCAGTTAACAGGAAGGCTGAAAATATCACCACAAAATTCCTCCTTTTGTCACGCAACAATTTGTTAAAAATGTTGGAATCGTGAAGTCAAGTTAAGGATCTACATTTACCATGACATAGGCACAGACACGACTGTTTTCATTGTAAAGCTAGCTAAGCTAAAGACGCTAATTGAAGGCTAGAATAAATATTCTGAATGAGTAGTCCAGGTTACCTGAAAAGTGAAGCTCAGAAATTCGCCACAAAATTTGGGGGATTATAGAAAGAGAAAAAAAAAAAAAAGAAGAAAATTCTGGATACTTGAGCACAAAAAACCCATTTAGGTTTCTGTAACTAGCGGTGGTGCTAAAGGCTACTTCACTGCTTTTGTGGCATCTTGCACAGCTAAATGAACCCCATAACAAAACGTTAAGTTCCTACATAAGTCGGGATCCATGAAACCTTTATTTTCTTAGTAGAAATTCATAAAAAGAAATCCCAGTGTCTAGTGTGGTTTTTAAACCAGACCCAGACAGAAATTTTGACAGAAAATAAATAAAAAAAGTTGACAAAAACAGATCTTTTGATGTGGCAAATCAAAATTAAGTTTAATTTAAACTAGAATGTAAAGTAAAAATCTATCTTTTTCACCCTTTTCAGGACTGCTTCTGACCCGTTTGATGCAGAGTATAAAAAGGAGGAAGATTACTGCCAACCTTTATTATTCCTAGGAGCACCAGAGTATTGCTTTTAAGATAAACACGCAAACATAACTCACCCATTAACATTTTTTTTTACTTATTCTGTATACTTGAGGCTACAGTGTGCAGTGATATTCTTGGTAGGCTTATAGCACTTAAGAGCAGATATACATTAAATATTCTTTTCAATCCACAATTAATCATTTTTTACCCAATATTTTGCAATGAATGTATGAAATTGGTTCAAAAAGCATCTGTGTTTTGTCATGTCAGCAAAGCAGCAGGTGTTGTGCTTTGTTCCAGCTTTTCGTATGCTGAGTAATAATTTCAACTGTAAGAAGTTACAAGCAGCAAAGCTGGTGCAGTTCGACTTTCTGCTCTTATCAGCTCTGATTTGCTGTGTTTATCCTGGATTAGAAGGTAAATGAAAGAGGGATAAGAACATTTAAAGGGGAAGAGGTGACTAAAAAGTAAGTAGGGCTTGGGCCTTTAAAGCCTTATGCAGCAGTTGGTTCTTTTCCCTTCTTTAGAGTATGACGAAGGAGGCTCAGCTCAGGTGGGAGCTCTGCAGCTACATCTGTCCCGTGGTTAAAGCTGAAGCGAGCACCAACCTGCAGATAGACAAACTAGAAACACAGGCACTTTGTCCTGGGTGGCGGCCTCTCGACGGGCCCTTCGGCTCTCCCGGCCTCTCTTAACGAGGCGGACCTCAGGTGTCTTGGTAAGGCATGTGAAAGCAGCCAGGGCTGTCATCGTCAGGCGACCAGAAGGATGACGGCCTCTTGTGGTGGAGCTCTCTGCGGACGCAGCGAGGACAAGGCTGTGCTTTCTGTCGACACTCTGCGTGGAAAACAGCGCTGCAGCCGTCACACCTGTCAGCCAGCAAAAACTGATGTTAATACTCAAACAGCAAAATTCCCTCTTCATAATGTAGCATTAAAAGATATTTGTAGACAAAATACAAAACCCTGGGATTAAATATCAGATCCCTACTTCAGGAGGATTTTTCATTGAACAGGTTTATTGACTATTTGCACCGAGCTGTTGCTCCGTTCTGCCCGCCGGAGTCTACAGGACAGCAGATCCAGCTGTTATCTGCTCACACTTTAACACTCAGCTCAACAGCTGGGTGTGCCTGTGGATGTGTGTGTTCCACACCACGGATCAGCGTCTTCCAGGAATGGCTTCTGTTCAGCTCTTATCTCCCTGTTGTCTGCCTCTCTCTGCCTCTGGATCAGCGGGTTAACGAAGGTTTTCTAAACACCGGTCGGCATTTGGCTCTTTTCAAATTGACAGAAAAAGATGGATCTGACCCCCCCATTGAAACTGTATGCAAGGCTTTAAACCTGGGTTTGAATGGAGACTAAGCCATTCTAAAGCACATATCAAGGTGCTCATTTTGAGCTTGGATCCATATTTATTTTTGATTATCTTCATGGTGGAGAATCTTGTTTCACAGCAGCAGGTTGAGCCAAACATACTCAAAATGTGCAGGGTCATCTTTGAGCACACCATTTCACTTTTCTTTCACCAGTTCACCTCAGTTCTTCCAGCAGTCCACACTTTCTCTGCTGTCTTTTTCTCATCATCTTCCCCTTCTTTCCCGGCTTGCCACAGGTTTGCCTGCTGTGTCTAAAAGTGCTTAGCAGCAGTGACCCAGACTGACAGCAGCTCATTGGCTAATTTATATCACATGCAGCCTGGTCCCAGACGCCCTGGAGGGCTTTACCGTCTTAACAGGAGAAGCGGCGCAAGTGAAGTTAGACACTGCCATCGGACTACATGCTGTCATTTATAAATGTTTTAAATCAGGTTGGGTCTGGTTTATTCAGCAGGTGGGTCTGGATCTAGACCTTGGTCCGCTAATCCATGACCTCTATTCTAGACTGTGTTGAAGAAAATCTCCTCTCCCTCTGATTCAGATGGGGTTACAAACAAAAAGCAGAATGAAAGCTCAGAGACAAGTCCATATTATCACCTTACCTCAACATTTTATATAACAAGGATTTTATTATTAATAACCAAAGAAAACAACTAATTTTAATAAATAACATTTTTCAAACATGTAACCGTGAAACAGGAAGTTTATGACACTATTCCAGTAACTGTGCATACTGATTAAATTATCAGGGATCTATCAGAACTGCAGGCAGATCATCTTATATATTATCTAAATCTAACCTTATCAGGTTTAAAAAATATCAATACAGTTCTCAATGGGCCGCTTCAGGTGAGTTAAGGTTTCTAGAGCTAACGTGAGGATGTGTACCTTCGTGCGACATTCTCCTGAAAAGGGTAGATGACCTGTCCATTTTGGCAGAGCTCGCAGATGAAGCCCTTCTCCCGACACAGGCTGCAGCTTAACACATGGGAGCTGGCAAACTTGATCACCTTGGACAGGAAGGGAGCCAGTTTCCCATCAATCACCTTCAGAAGGAATAGAGAAGACAATGTTAAGGTGGATATGTACTGCTGATAAAATGTTAGAAGTCACGCTGTGAGGCCTCATAATGATAAATCAACAATATATCATCATGACAACAGCCCTGGGCTTTAAGCCAACAAGTTAGGATTGAGAAAATCCTTTGAAGAACAATGGGAGAGAGAACAATGAAGTATGCTTTATGAAAATCTATGATCGCTCTTGTACAATGAGGCAGACAAAACATTCAGATAAGGAGCCTGTGAAAAGGTCTGGAGTAGCAAAACAAAAACCATATCACTAATCAGACCCAAACGATCTGCAGAGAATTTAAATCATACTCCAGGTTCCTCAAGAGAGAAGGTTTAGATTTTATGCTGGAAAAATAAACCAGGCCATCATTCATTCCACCAGAATATTCAGTGGCAACGAATCTCACTAATCTGTCACAGTAAAAGCTTTTAACACTAAATTCAGCAAGCTGTATGCAACGGCAGAAAAATTTAGCTAAAAGGGTGGTACCAAAAAAATAAATAAAAATCAGGTGTTTGGTATGTTTTAAACCAGTTTCTTTTAGAGACAGTGATACATTTAAGTAATTGTTCTTCACATTGCTGATATGAAATAAAGCTGTTAGGAAAGGTGTACTATTAGAACCAAATAATATTAGACTAATGTTTTGTGTGTATAAAGTAAAAAGGCAAATTTATATTGTGCACAAAGGTAAAAATCAAACGCATGTCTAAAATGTTTTTGTCTGCCTTCTTGAATATTTATACTGATCATCAGAACATGTTCAATAATGGGAGGAGGACAGGCAAATGTAATTACCAACTGCGATGTGATTTATCCGGGAGCAGGCCAAAAATTTCAAACATGGACAGTCAGAAATGACAATAACAGAAATATACTGTATCTATCAAAGAATTATATTTTGGAGCTGTAGGACCATAATTCCCCAACCATCAACGTATACCAAAACACCACAATAAGGAGATTGTACTGGATGGAAATTGTGCTGATTTTCCGCTCAATGTTGCACAACCTATGGAGGAAAAATATACTCCAGTGCCGCGCGGTCCAAACTAGAGGTAGGCTGTGATGTTTTATCTGATTTGTCAAAAAAGTTCTCTTTTTGTTTGTTTAAAGTGAGACGTGTGTAACATTTGTTATCGTTGGGTCATTTTTATCATGTTAATGGAGAAGGAAAAAGCAATATTGATTTGGACCAAAATATCAGACGCACATGTGTGGATTGTCTAGACCAGGGGTGGGCAATTCCAGTTTCTGAGAGCCTGTATACTGCAACTTTTAGACGTTCCTCTGGTTCAACAGACCTGAATCAAGTAATGAGATGATAGAGAGGACTCTGGAGGAACTGACTGCATACTGCGGAGATAACTCAGCCATTTGATTTAGCTGTGTTGGACAATGGTCGAATCTAAATGTTGCAGGATACTGGCCCTCAGGAACTGGAATTGCCCACCCATTTTTAAGACCAAATTAACAAAATCGGTATCGCAGTCAACTTATATAAGTCAATCTCTATTGCAGACAAACTTTATGCAATCAAACGAAGACAGAAAAACCCCACAACTACAGTTCATTATTGTAGCTTGTTCATAAATAAAAGTGAAATTAGCAGCCACCAGAGCAAACAAACTATCAGGGATCCTATAACTTTAAGCAACATAAGAGGGGATTGATTTTTTATCTTCTAACATCATTATTTTGATCTCTTAAACTCTTTTGCTGTTTTGAAGTGCTTTTAAATTCTTATCCTGGAAATGCATTATACATTTTCTTTTAATATTTATCATGAATATTATTATTTTTACTATAAGTATTATTTCCTACATCACTATGGATTTGAAATACTTGAATGGCCAAAATGCTCCCCCAATCCTAATTTAAATAGGGCAGTCCGTCAACGCTTTTGCACCCGGTATCGTAACACACAAGTTTTTGATTGCATAAGCACCGAGGTGCTCCTTTTCAAGGATATTTTTAGATAAGGGCTTTAAACAGAGAGGAAGAGCAGAAAAAGGAGATGACACTTTACAGAACGACCATCTAATTTTTGGAAACACAACAAGTTCCTTAAAGGAGGAGGTAAAAGTGGGCTAGCAGAAGGGGGGAGGATTTGTATTGTTGCTTATCTTCTATGGTTGACTGAACAGAGAACATAAATACTCTACGTGTTTCCAAACCTTCATCATGTCAGGTTAGAAAGGCAGATAAATTCATGAGCATAATAAAATCCGTGCATGTTCAACAGAGAAGGAGAAAGTAGCAGAAAAACAGCGGAAAAAGTAGGTGAGAGTGTTGGAGGTATAATAAACAAGAGGTCTTGAGAGAGAAGCGAGAGCCTGTATTCAGATACAAGTGGTTCCACCTGGCAGAGCTCTGGACCTCCCAATTATAACCTCCTTCATGCTGTTTTTCAGGCGATGAGAGGACAAGAGAAGGACTCGAGGTAGGTAGTGGAGGAAGAAACCACACACGCACACAGATGAAACATAAAGCACTAAGATATACTCCTCCTGTTTTGCTCTGATTCAGATAAAGCAGGACAAAGAACGAAAATGAGATCCTTCAGTAGCAAACCTAACTGATATGTTCACATACAGACACTAATATGTAAACAGGTGAAACACATTTTGGTAATTTCTTAAACAGAAATGTAATTGAAGCACTTTTGCAGAAATTGTACCTTTGTTTTTTAAAGTCTCTTGGAACTTGAAATGAGATAATACGGATTCTCCTGGGGTATAAATAGGATGCAATAACAGACTTTTTTAAGATTGGAAAAAAGAACGTACTATTCAAGGTAGCCTCATACGCATTCAGAAATCAGTATAGTAACTTGCGTCAAGGCTGGAAGTAAGCCAGATGAAACTGAAATACTGAGGGAGGCAGAAGGAAACATGCGTCCCCCTGCACCCAAACCAAACCAAGCCAAAGTAAAGCAGGCCCGCTCAGTCCGGTCCAGCACAGTCCACATGACGAATGGCTCCGCTGATGGAGGCTGACAGGCTCGGTAATTAAGGCCTCCTATAATTGGACTGGGCAGAGTCAAGCGAAATGCAGCAGCACTCTGGTGACTTGCTCTCTGATTGGAGGGGGACAAAGGGACACAAAGGTGGCTGGCCTGATGGAGAGTGACTAAACTAAACATGTGGAAAAGCAAAAAGGTGATAAACAAAAAACAAGCCAATCAGATCCAGCTTGCTTCATATTGATACACTCAGTTCATAAAGCCATTACCGGCCTGGTTTATCCCAATGGCCAAAACTGGCTTTCACTTCTCTTGATTGCTCAAATATCAACTGCTCCAGCTGCAGTAAATAATAACTGACTGTTTTATTAGCTTCATTACAGTGAAGCTGGCCGGTTCGATCACAGCGGGATAGTAACTCAGACTATGAAGTTTAATATGAACATATTAAAAAATGTAACTAGTTCTGAGCCAACAGTAGAGCTGCCAGTGCTCAGGTTGTGATTTAAAGTTAACTACTACAGACTGTGGAGTCCCATATTCGTCATCACCATGTTATCATTTGAAAAATCTCAGATAGAGCCATCATATACCGATATGTGATCTCCAATTCTTGTAAAACTTTAACCTGCAGATGCAGACTTCAGTAGAAGCGTATCTCTCTTAAAGAACAATTATCAAGGTCGCTAAAAGAAGATTGATTGTAAATTAAAATATAAAAGGTCTAACAGAATTCTCCCTTTTACCTTCCTGTTAGCTGATGAAAGTCCTACTCTCTTCTGCTGAAGGACTGTGAGACAACATTGAAATGTCATAAAAAGAAATGTTTTCTTTGTTTCTTAGAAAAGTTTTCTGTTTTTAGCTCCTGTGTCTCTGGGATTTTTCTGACTAACACATTTCTTTCTTTTCTTTTAAAGTTTTCTTAAAAAAACAAAAAACAAAAACAAAATCACTTACTGATACTGAAAATAACATAACTGTTAACAAATTAAAAGGCCTAGCATGCAGTCTGAACATCCATATACGCCAACTTCTTTTAGCTTTCTTATTCATCAATCAGACTGACACTGAAATCTCTAGAAAACTACACCGGACTCTAACTTGTCACACAGTGTGAGCTTCGTATCAGAAAACCAACTCGTTACCTTGTGGTTGAAGATGCCACACTTGACTACTTCTCTGTCAGCATAACTGTGTCAGACAGTTCTGACAGAAATATCCGTCTTATGATTAATTCAAACCAGGTTTTAGTTAGATTCTCAAACAGGTGTTTAAGGAACTCAAATAGAAAAGAAATGACTATAATCTGACTTTTGCTGTGACAGCAATAATCAGACAGCATTAATTTTTATGACAAATTCAGGCCCTGCTTGATATTTCATGCAGGTTGTTCCTGAATGAGTTAAATAGAATCTGTTTTAGTTTGTCTTTCTAAACAACCAGATTAAAGCTTAAAATCATAGATTTAATCCAACCTGGCAGAAAGCAGCGCAGAGAAAACCTGGCTTTACCTTTCTAAGGAACTAAACAAGGAAATTAAATTAAGTGGTTGATTGTGATTAGGTTTTAGTTCAGACAGTCTCTGAGTAGTTTGGGTTTTCAAACATTAATGAGGTCTGGATAACACCGTCTGTTCACGTCAACCGCATTTTCTTCAGAGTTAAAAAAGAAAAGATCTTTAGATTTTTGACGATGGGATTGTATTTCTTCAGGAGATCAGACAACACAAGCTCTGGAGTGAGGTGTCATAAGTCATGTTGAGTCTGAATGGCATCTAACGTAAACGCCATTACACCCTCTGTTACATGTTAAGCTAAACATCCAGTTAGATATCCTGGTTCTGCAGGAGGAAGATGGACATGGGATTTTTCTCAGAAAGCTGTGGACAAATAGATTTACTGACCACTTTGTCCCTTTGTACTTTTGTTTGGTGGGTGGGTAGGGGGGGCTGTTATATTACCCCAGTGAATTTTTTTTACAGTTGAAATGTGGATTTCTGTTTGAAAA